CCAAATCGACCCGACACGGCGCCCCTCTCAAGTCAGAGAAGACAGCCCTGTTTCTTCTTCATTGGGTTGCGAGTGAGACTGAGTCCATTTGGCACGCCGACCACTAACTAGCCTATTGGGTCTCGCCATAGCTCAAGCGGTTAGTCGCTGGCTTCCAACCGCGGCGGCCCGGGTTCGATCCCGGGTCTGGTCAAGTGGGATTAGTGGTGGACAAAGTGGCGCTGGTGCAGATTTTCTCCGAGTACTTCGTTTCCCCTGCCAATCTTCATTCCACCAATTGCTCCACAATCACCCTCATCTATCACCTGGGGCTGGTACAGTAGGCCAGAATTGGCCGCAGTACAAGGGACTTAGTCCCACCCCACTAGCAATAAAAAAAGGAAAAAGACTGGCCTACTGTACCAGCCCCGGATGACAGATGAGTGTGGAACAGCCAGCAGAATGAGAATTGGCAGGGGAAGCTGACATACTCGATTAAAAACTGCTCTAGTGCCACTTTGTCCACTGAAAATCCAATTTGAATTGACCTAAGCTCGAACCCGGGCCGTCGGCTGATCTATTGCACGGCATTGAAATGTATGCCAACAAACAGCATGTGGTGTTCCCAGGTGGTCACCCATGCAAGTACTAACCATGGCCAATGGAACCGAAAGGCTAACAATCCCTATAAGCCGGGGCGCTGAAGTCTGTCGTGGTTACGGTCAGTAGCGGTCGGAGGAGTGTTAAATGCAACAAAAATGGGTTCTAGCATGGGGAAGGAAGGAGTCGCTGTCAATTTTACGGTACCATCTCAAGATTTGTCTGAAGGGTAAATCTGGTTAAGTTGTCCCTGTGTCTAACTAATTAAGCACTACGCCATGAAGACATGCGGGAATGGATGTATAGAGCGCGTTTTATTGGCCTCGGCACTAGTTGGTGGTAAGTGGTGAGCTTCATGCTTCGGCCGCTTTATCCCCGGGGAAAGACCCCCGACACCCACTGGATAGGATGGTTAGCTCCCAGAAGCGGCTTGGACGATGTGGAGAGGAGAAAGGTCTTACCCCTATTGGAGCTGAAACTTCGACCGTCCAGCCCGTAGCCAGTCGCTAAACCGACTGCTCTATCCGGTTCTCACTTGTCTGACGGGGCTAAGGAAAATCAGGAAGTCTCAGACAGGACAGCCTTCCGTACGAGACTCAAACCTAGGACCTGCCGAATACTAAGCATGCGCACATGCGCGACATTGTGTATGTGAAGTGAATTGACCTGTGTGCGGGGTCATACGAAGGGATGGATCCTACTAATCAGGATACACTTTCAATTATATCATTTAAAACCCTTTGAAGTGCCATTCAACTCGGACATGACCCGTGAAAGCGGTACCGGCTACATAGCCCATGTGTGGCCCTTGCTTCCTGACATTTCGCAACATATGTAACAATGCACACTTGCGTCCTGAGGCTCTCCGTCTCTCATTTGCTTCCTTCTCTTTCCTGATGGATCAGTCCTCATGGCCTGCTCCCGTTCTATTTTACAGGCAGTCGGTAGGGCTCCTTGGGTAAGGATCAGCCAGTTCTAAGACCGCTACCTAGACAGTACAACACAAACAAAGTAAATATGCGAACACGATGCTTCGAGTGGGATTCGAACCAGGGATCCCAGTGTTTCAGTGGGTGAAAATATTGCATGCCCTAGACCACACGGTCACTGTGATTGGCTTCCTCTTTCCTTTTTTCGTCTTTTAACCTTCCTCATTTCTGTAGCTCCTTTCCCTCATTTTCCCCTCTTCCTGTCTCTCTCATCTACCTTGTTCTAATTTCCTATTTTTCCTTTCTTTGTCGGTTTCTTCCTTCTACCATTCTGCCGCAGGCCTCTCAATTCATGAATCCTACAGTACACAACATGGTTACTGAATTGGTTACGAAATACCGTAAAACGTAGTTGTCCCTGTGCTTAACTTAAGCACTATGACATGAAGGCGTATGGAGGAGTGGATGTAGAGATCCGCGTTTTCTTGACCTCGGCACTAGCTGGAGTTCAATAGTCAGCTTCACGCTTCGTCCACTTTACCCGGAGAAAGAGTCCCCGGTACCCCCAGAACCGGGTTGGACGAAGTGGAGAGGAGAAAGGTCTTACCGCTATTGGGGCTGACACTTCGACCGTCCAGCCCGTAGCCAGTCACTAAACCGACTGCTCTATCCCGGCTTGCACAAAATACCATAATCGACCAAATCTGATTATAAGAGGTCCTGGCAGATAATAATTCGCGGCAGCGTAGTTGGTTGAGGCAGTATACTACAAACCGGGAGGTCGCGGGTTCAAGTCCCGATGAGGTGGAATTTTTCAATTGACCTAATCCTTCCAGCCGCACTAGGGCCCTGGGGATGACTCGCCCTCTAAGGCTGACAACCTTATACCCCTCTGTGAGCCGACTGTCTAGAGAAAATGTGGGAGCCTCGACGTCTCACAACCCTATGGGGCTTCATGGTCTGTTACAGGGACAGCTTTACCTTCTTTACACATATGTATACATTTACAGTTGTACAGTGAAGTGACACGTCTTTTTCTGAGAGACGCGGGAGAGAGTGAAGCTTGCGGACGGGTTTGAAGAGAATGGACTCGCTAGAAGAGAAAGCCATAAGAATGGACAACTTCGTACTCTGGAGGTGAAAAGAGCAGGTTCCCACGAAAAACTGGTATCTCTCTACCGGACATCATGGCTTCACATCCCTGAATATTAACCGCCGTGAGAACCTCAAGTCCAACACGAAAGGACGACAGGAGGGCTACCCTGAGAGTCAACTGAGAATGAAAACGCTTAAAGTAACTGAATACAAAGCCAGGCATGCACGCAGCAAATTTGAAAGGAATCGCTCAGGAATGTAGAAACAGCATCAGTACCAGAAGTTCTGGGAAGAACTAATGGCATACTTTCCTTTGATACGACAAGGACTGCACAGAAACGCGTTCACCCCTCCTTCTATTGTTGCGTGTATTCACTGCCGCGGTAAAGTATTTACCGAGCCGTTGCCTAGCAACGATAGAAGAATTAACATCCAGACATACAGACTTATGAGAGGGATTTATGGAGTACACCGCTGAGATGGGCTCAGGTGCCATTATATACATACCAAGTCTCATATAGACTGGTTCAGGCATTCAAAAGTTGAATGGTGGGATACACAGACAGCTTGGAGATAGTTATTTTTGAAATAGGCTAAAACATCATGTAAAATTATACTTTAATGTTAATTTCTTTGAGAGTCGAGATAGCTCATTCAGTATAGCGATGAGCTAATGGCTGAAAGGCCGGGGTTCGATTCCTGGCAGGATGAAGACAATATTCTCTACTCCACAGCGTCCAGATCATCTCCCGGGTCCGTCCAGCCTCCTACAGAATGGATACCGCGGGTTCTTCTCCAGGGTGTAAAGCGACCGGGACGTGAAGCTGACCGTTCACTTCCATCTAGCGCCGAGGCAAACGATATATCGTTATGGCATAGTGCTTAATTAAACACAAGAACAATTTTTCCGTTTTATTTATTTATTTTTACACAGTGTTCTATAAGACACGATGGGAAGTTTATGTACGTGTTTCCAGTGTTGCATTCTGCTTATCTACAACTGTTGCTGTACCCAAGAAAAATAATTCCTAACTTCAGGAGTCCTGCTTCCTATTTGACTCGAAAGCGAATGGTCGGATTTATCACGGCTTGTGTTTGAACAGGTAAAAGGGACTGGCTAGAAGCCGTGGAATAATTAGGTGCAGGGAACACGGGGTGAGGTCTGACACTCATTTGTTTCGCTGCGTCCTCTTAATGAGGCAGCTCCTTTACGCAATCGAGTCTTGTGCTAATTCTCTTGTTGCAAAGGAAGGCAGCTGGTTAATACCTCCGGTTTCTGATTTCTAATGGCGGGTGAGGGACTACAAAGCCGAATATATGTCAGGTCACATTTTGAGTCAGTAAAAGAATCAAAAAAGAATATTTTTTTCCACATTCTGTCGTCGTTCTTATGTTCTGCCTGCGATATTTCAGATCCGTTGAATTTTTTCCGCGCGCGCGCACGTGGACAACAAGAATAATGGCGCAACTCTGACAAAGGTTACTCAATTCAAATCGATTGATTTCGATTAAGTATTGAACAAAGGATCTTCAGTGTCCTCAATCACAATTTTATAGTGATGGCGGTGTCCGCACTGCTATGCGTCTCCGAAGTTAGTCGTCCCATAAAGAGAACCCGCTTACGAATGCTAACTATATGGAGGCAGAGTCCTTGAGTTGTGTTTATCTGTCGCCGGGCCGCGCGGCAGTCTTTACTGGTTCGAAAAGCCTTTTCCATATTAAACCCTTCCGAGAAATGATCTGCACAAACGCCATGCTGGACACGAGGTTCCCATACCGGTACATAGGCTGTGACGCTGCGTACGTTGGAGGGACCGACTTTACTTATTCTTTGAAGCTGAGCGTTCCTCCGAAATATCGGGCCCTCTTCGAAACAAGGGGAGTCACAATCCAGAAGATGATAAAAGGTACAGTTCTGCCTCTGCATGAAGACGTGTGGGGGGAGTGGAGGTAGATTATATGCAATTTCCAGAAAGAAAAGAAAGGAAGAATCACATAAGACAAGGGAAGAAACAAAAATGCGTCATGTTGGCAAACACATGGCGCTAGTGTCGCTTCCAGCTCAGTCACTGACACGAATGTCATTAGTTGTAACAGGGTGTAAAAAGTAAAGTTCTCCTTGTGCTTAACTAATTAAGCACTACGCCATGAATAGATTAATGTATTATTGATCTCGTCACTAGTTGGAGATGAGTGGTGAATTTCACACTCCGGCCGCTTCTCCCCCCAACGATAGCCCCAGCTACCCATTGGATAGGAGGCTGGGTGGGCTTCAGAGCCGGTCTGGACAACGTGGAGAAGAGAAAAATCTTTACCCTACTTGGACACAAGCTCTGACCTCTCGGAGCCATCAGGAGCCTATGTCAACCGGAGCAAACAGTGATGTGGGCAACGTACCGATCCGTAGAGGAGGCCGCAGCTGTCCATACACAGGAACATGCACGTCGGGACGCTCTGTATCAACAGTTGTCCCATCCTCACCGAGTGCCGCTGGAGGATGGCTGCAACACACACAACACAGTCACATGAGGGAAATGTTGCCGCTCTTACAAAGTGGCCCGCAGACCGGTTATCAGAACGTGACTTCCTCCAGTCTTCTAAAGGCGCATTCACATTACTCCTGCTCGTGTGACTCGCTATGCTCGGGAGTAATGTGGACGACATGACAAGTCAAGAGACAAGCAAATTTTTAATTTAAAAACTATAGCCAATAAATTAAAATACGACTACAGCCTATACACACTACAAGTAAATATACGGATCCTAACGCACCGAAGCCTGGCGAGCAACTGAAGTAGTGTGGACGAAGATTTACGAGCACAAGTAAAAGCCAGACGAGTCTCCCGACGAGCACGAGCACGAGTAATGTGGACGCGCCTTTAGACGAATGCAAACAGACCGTGACCACATAAGTCTCCATCCTGTATAGCTCACCATTCTTACACACTTTCCTTCCGAAGCTACACAACGTAAGTGGTGGGCATGTGTCGTTTAATAGCCCAATATCGATATGTAACTTCTCTTTTTATTCAGCATAGGTCACGGCTATACCACCAAATAACATGAAAAATATGATTATGAATGGCTAATTAATATTCTTTAGAAAGAACTATGTTTGCGCCCATTCTAAAATCAGGTATTCGCCTGGAAGGTCTGAAGAAAACCACGAGAAGCGTAAGTCAATATTGCCGGTAAACGGCTGAAATCCAAAATTGGTGTCTCCAAACCAGAAATCCAGTAACACTACACCTGGAGAACTAGATCGAGTGGAACCAGCTGTTGGGCTTTTGTAAGCACGGTAATGAACCTACGAGTTCCGTAAAGGCAGGAAATCCCCTGACCGCCTGGACAACAGTGAACTTTTGAGGGCACTTCATCTCATTCATAAATGGCTCTACAGCTCTTTGTTGGGCCCTGGACTTTTCTTCAGTTTCGTAATCTTTTTTACACGGTAGGACTCCTTGGACGAGGGATCAGCCCGTCGCAAGGCCGCTACCTACACAGGACAGCGCAGACACAGATTAAATGCACATACAGTCATCTATGTCTTGAGTGAGATCTGAACCCACGATCCCAGCATTCGAGCGAGCGAAGACAGTTCATGCCTTAGACGGCGCGTTGAAGGCACTTATTACCGGTACTGAAACCACGGGACAGACAGATACAAGCAGGTCTGCCCTGTGACTTGTCACTGCGCAACATGAGGAGCACCGTGGTGCCGGTCTCCTTTACATTTGCAGCTCAGGTTGACAGAGAAACAGAGTTCTGCCCGCACGAAAGTCGTGTTACATCTGACTTCAGTCCTCAACTCAGAAAGATTTTCAGTATTCGCAAGCGGTAGTGTAGGTGGTTGAGGTACTATGCTACAAGCCGGAAGGTCGCGGGTTCGATTCCCGATGAGGTCATTGGATTTTTCAATAGGCATAATCCCTCCAGTCGCAATATGGCCCCGGGATCGACTCAGCCTCTAACAAAAATGAGTACAAGGAATCTTCCTGGGGTGTAAAGGGTGGCCGGCGAGTAAGGCAGGCCGCACACCGGCATGCGTCAAGACTTGTAACAATCAAGACACGATTTCTGCGACATGACGCAAAGAAAGGAGCACATTGAAACGAATGAGATTATAAAAACCGCCGAAAACCGTTCTGAGTAATGATGCTGACGTCAGCTTCATGTTGACTAATCACGAATGAAGAAAGACCGCGTCTTCTGTCTCATGTCTTGATGCTTGTCTTGACGCAGTTGGTGTGCGGCCACCCTAAGGCTGAAAACTTCACAGCGGTATTCTTTTCAAATTTTGCTTCCTAGAAAAGAGGGGTTGCCTTATCTTCGGGCACTTAAGAGTAAATATGAACAAGGTTACAATAATGAGTGCTAATTGCTAATTCTAATGATATTATTAAAAGTACTTATCATATTAAAATTTGAATGTATTAATCTTAATAGTATACTCGTATATTTGTTGCTTCATTTTTCATACAGCCGTCAGAACTAAATAGACATTCAATTTTGTTTTCTCCCAGATTTGATCATGGAAAAATGGGGGGCCGCCTAATATTCGGGATTATACGTAATCGAAATTTGGCTTTCATGGTACAATGTAAGAAATGCGCAGATGTGAAACGATTACATTTCATAGGACAAAGTGTGTTGATTCTAGAGGTTTATCTGGGGGCAATGAGTGACGCGAGGTTCCTCACTACAAGAACCCCTTTCTTAACTCAGTGACATATTTTGACAGGTCCAACATGTCTGTCTCTTCAGGCAACTTAAGTCACTATCATGGATACGAAATGTTACTGTATTAAGATCTAAAAGGTCTAACTGACGTGTGATGTTACGTAAAGACGATTACATGTCTAAAGGTCACTTTTCTGGAAAAGAAGAAACAACTTTAGACGTGTACACGGCCGCGCCATAGCTCAAGCGGTTACTCGCTGGTTGCCCACAGCGGCGGCCCGGGTTCGATCCCGGGGGGGGGGGTCTGGTCAAGTGGGATTTGTGGTGGACAAAGTGGTGCTGGGGCAGGTTTTCTCCGAGTACTTCGGTTTCCCCTGCCAATCTTCATTCCACCAATTGCTCCACAATCACCCTCACCTATCATCTGGGTCTGGTACAATAGGCCAGAAGTGGCCGCAGTACAAGGGACTTAGTCCCACCCCACTAGCAATAAAAAAAAATTGACATGTATACAGTGAAAGGCAAAGGTAAAGTTGCCCCTTTGCTTGAATAATTAAGCACTAGGCTATGAAGGCGTATGGAGGGAATGGATGTATAGAGCTAGAGAGCTATGTCACATTATTTTAAATGGTTTCCTAACTGTGAAACCTTCTTAGTGCTTCAGCATCTCTAAAAATTCGCAAATGTACACCGCCAGATTTTGTCCGTTATAATAAGGGTTTGTGGTCCATTAAAAATGGCATCCATTTCCGAAAATCTGTCTCTTACATTCATCTCTGTCCCTTTTAGGGGATCCAACTGAGTGGATCTTGCTGCATTCGCTGTTTCGGGCGGTGTTTCGGAAATCAGTTCCCTCCCTGAGAGGAAAGGCAGCCGGTACAATATCTCAGAGCTGTAAGATTTGCCTAAAACGCCCATGACAACACAGCATGCATTTTCTTATCTACTTTGTGTGAAGTTACACTGAACAGTTACGTAACACAAAAGTATTCACCTCTACATATATTTCTTCTGGCGATTCCTCTGAAGCACTGGCGTCTGAAGAAGCGGCTCACGACCCACATTCATAGGTCTATACTCCTATAAAAGTCAAGTACAGTGACACAAAAATTACAAATGATGTATTTTTTCATTTTCCTCTCTCAGTGGCTCTGTACCCTTTGGATCTCGGCCACTTTTTCAGTTTCTTAATCCTATACGCAGTCAGTAGGACCCTTGGACAGGGGATAAGCCCGTCGCAATACCGCTACCTACACACAGAACAACACAGACATAGAATAAACGCACACAGACATACATGACTCGAGTGGGATTCGAACCCACGATCCCAGTGTTTGACCCAGCGAAGGCGGTTCATGCCTCAGACAGTGCGGCCACTGTGATCGGCTTTATAAATGATGATAAGGATGGACTGCCCCTGTGGTCTAGTGGCCAGAGTTCCTGACTACAGAGGTCTCGGGTTCGATTCCCCGCGATACCAGACTTTCTGAGAAGTAGTGGGTATGTAACGGGGTCCATTCAGCCTCGCGAGGATAATTGAGGAGCCATTTCAAGGAAATAGCGGCTCCGGTCTAGAAAACCGAAATTAACGGCCGTGGGGATCCGTTGCGCTGACCATGCGACACCCCCTATCCGCAAAAGTTGGCACTAACTTCTCCGAGAAGCGGCGGTCGCTCAGTCGGTATAGTTCACTTGCGGACTAAAACCACGGAGGGGTCTTTTTTGTATTACGGATGGGTTTATACTTATTTTTTGGGAGAGGAAGCTGTTGGTAAGAACATAGCAGACTTTTCTTCAGTTTGAAGTCTTGGAAGAGTTACCACTAACACAGTAATGAGCCTTCGGATACGATAAGAAACGCGTGCGGCCCCATGTACTTAAAAGTTTAAGAAATATCCGTTTATGGTCCGTAGTGTTTTCATTCCAGTGACAGTCACCACGCCAACAGTCTGCCTCAGTAAACACATCCCTCAATGCCGGACTGCTTCGTCTCAAGGCGACGGACTTCATTACAAACCCAAAGCTATGTTTATAAAGCAACAAATAGTTCTGTAGTAGGTCTAACGTGTTTTATCTCCAAGTTTACATCCAGAACGGTTTTAACCCTGCAATTACATTCGTCACGTCAAATCTTTATCGTTTTTCTCGATGTCCACACGGACAGACAGCCTGCCGTCTCTGGTTCTTTAGCAACCCGCTCGTCGATAAATCAAGCGATCGATAGGTCCGCCTGCTGGAGCTACTCGGCATGCTGACAGGTTCGCAAAGCATCCAAAGACGCACATAAAACCGCTTTCACAAATTAAATAACACATTTTTACGACATTTTAAATAAAAAATTCTAAGATTCCACTCTGTGTAAAGCCCACGATGTTCCACAAAGCTTGCCAAATATAAAAACTGAAAGTATGAATAATAAATTTGTACAATAATTGCAATGGAATGTTTCTTGGAGGAAGCACATGGTACCGTTGGTACAAAAACATTATTAATCCCCGCGGCTCGCGAACAATTGGAACCCACTGCAGAATTAAACACCAGTAACTACAGTTCTCTTTTTTTTACTTTCTTGCTGTGGGGTGAGACTGAGTCCACTTCCTATTTCGGCCACTATTGGCCTATTGCACCAGCCCCGGATGATAGATGATGGTGTATGTGGAGCAATCGGTGAAATGAGAATTGGCAGGAGAAATCGAAGTACTTGGAGAAAACCTGCCCCAGTACCACTCTGTCCACCACAAATCATATGATCTGACCCGGGCTCGAACCAGGGCCGACGCGGTGGCAAGCCGGCGACTAACCGCCTGAGCTATGGCACCGC